AGAGAGACCGAGAGTGCTATTAAAATTGCTGTATATAAATTTTACTACCTAAGAAAAATAGCTTTTTATGTCAATGTTACTAACATGTTTAGTCCATACAGTTGTGTTCAAAGTTAGCCTGAATATTGCAGTATCTCGCTCAGGAACTAAGACGGGTGTTATGCATTCATCATTAATGGTCAGACATTAAATTATGGTGAACTTGCTACTGGGGAGCAGGGGTCAAAAACCCTCTCATAACTGTTGCAGGAGATATATGTGATATCTGTCTGTCCCTCCATAACTCTGGGATATTATGGAATATCAGAGTCTCATTACAGTTATCAATAGCAGAGCCTGGGGGAAGCTGGGGAGGGGGGCTAACTGAGTGCGTAATGGTAGAACATTTAAAAATAGCTCAAGATTTCTTCCTAAAATAAATCCAAACATGTGATTCTTTCCATTCACCCCGTTATGATGAAGATAATGAAAAAGAATCATTATTTCAATCAGAAGTAGCCTAAGATCTTTACAGACTGAGGACTTTGCCCAGTGCTTTCATTGCTACTGCGGGTAGTCCCTGCTTTGTAAGAGGCTGGGAAACCTGATATTATTCATTAAAATCCTAATGGCTTCATTGCTGTCTAGAGATTTTCTGATTCATGCTTAATTGATCTAGTAAATTGTGCTAAAATGTATTTACGAATGTACTATATTTTACCACAAACATGCACTTGTCAAAGGGAACACATTTTATGATGCAGTGTCCTAGATTGATCAAATTACCAGCGGCTGCAGTTGAACACCTCTACATGAGAGCAATTTGCAATGCAGGAGGTTTTGTAGGTCCTGTGGTAATGTGTTATGGTGCTGAGCTGCCTATCTTATTCTGGCAGTGAATAACAAACACTTCAGCAGCAAATACTCCCTCCTTACGTACATTGTTTCTTGGAGAAAAAAAATATAAAAAAAAAGCTATTTAAAGCCATCGGAATATTTAACTGTTACATATAAGAGATATGTGTAAGGACTGTCATAAAACACCTTCATTTAGAACAGCAGCACTATATTGTTCAACATGGGGAAAAGCATCTTTAAAAACAAAGATCCTAAAAAGCAAACAATCTCTACTCAGACATCAATATCTGTGATTGAATATGCATGTATATGTATGTACATATATATACACACACATACACATACAGAAAAGGATATGAGATTAAAGCAGATTAAATAACAGTATTAAAAGAAAGGCTGAAAACTAGATTTGAAAAAGTTGAAATTAATTTCAGGCAAAAAACATTTTTACCAATTAAACTAAAATATGTATGTTAAAAATACAAAACAAAACCCCACACACCCACAACAAAGGCAATCACTAGCAAACCACTTCTGTAGGGAGAAACAGAGATTCATGTGCTAATTTAATTATAACTGTTCTCCTGCATAATTTTGCAATCCTGAAAACTGAGGCAAAGTTCATTTTGTAGGGAAGTCTTGAAGTCTTTCAAGCTTAGCAATATATTCTGGATTCCCTTATTTTGATTCCACTGCCGGTTCAGATTACACATTACAACATTTAAACATGTCAAATATAAACCCSATAAAAACATCGCATCAAAAAAGCCCCAGCAAGTTCACACTGGCTGCCAGACTCTACAAGTAGAGAGAACTATCAAGAAAAATGTATCTGCTTTATAAAGAAAACAAACAATTGCAAAATGGCTCATTTTGTTTGTTTTTCTTTTATCAGTCCAGAGATGAATCTTCTATTAACATCTGCCATGTATCATCGTGTAATCCTCCTTTTCTCTTTCCTCCCAAACTACTGCAATTCWGGGTAACCCTAATCTTTAAAGTGGACAAGAACCATAAAACCCTACCTGTGGTGGGAAGGATTAGGGAGTACATCATGCTTTTTAGTAGATGGGATTTAAACAAGCAATAAGGAGAGGAAAACCTCCCAAGACATAATCCGACAGTCTCAGACTGACCCAATTCTTTTGCCATAAGAAGTGATCATCACATATCTGCCCCGATTTAAATTGATGGTTAAGTGTGCCAAAGAGTTTGCAGATTCTGCAGTATATTTTTAACTTTGAGCTGACTAGAGCTCACACTTGAAACATGGGACAATTTAGCATGCAGTTTTGTACGGTTATATATTAAGAACAGTTACATTAATCAGAACATTTGCAGCAATTGGGACAAATCAGGAAAGAAAAAGAACACAGCAAATTAAACTTACGCAGGGCCYTGGTGAAAAGCTAATATATCACCCAGTACAATAAATAAAATTCATCAGGCTGAACGTGGTGCTAAGGGGATTCAACCTACCTTCTCCCGACGAAASAGGGAGAGGGAAAGGGAGAAAAAACAAAAACAATCAACTACAAAATGATTAACTACTCAGAAATCTCAATTTTGCGGAAGATTCCATTTTAAGATTGAGAGATTTTAATTGCAAGTACGGCTGGAAAAATATATGTAGTCACAGTTTAAAAGAAATCACATATTTCCCCCCATACATATATATGTATTTTTCCGATTACAAAATTGTGAATTTTCATCCATAAACATTTCACCCAGCATTCTTTTATTTCTTTAAAAAAATAAAAACCCTGAAATTGTAAAAAATATCCAAATAAAACTAAATGCAACCATAATCAAAATACTGTCTGAAAAGAATAAAATCATACGGAAATCATAATTTTATCGTTAGCAATTCTACTTGCATTTTGTTTGAAAGACAAAACATATATCCAGCATTTTTCTTACATGAAAATTGGCACCAGAATATTAACATTGTTTCATCAGACACTACAAGTCTGAAAAATAAGCAATYTCACAGAATGTCTGCAAGGAAGTTAGAATATCACTTATAAGAAATTAATAATCACTATGAAAATTTAAGTAAGAAAAAAATCACTTATTCAGTATTTATGAAATTAAATTACAGAAAGATTGGCTAATAGCTGTTATACAGCTACTAGGCTATATTGTCAAATCACTTTTTTTCCAATTAGATTAGCAGTGCAGCCTTGGCCACCCTCAACAACCTTCACTCCTCTCTAAGAGAAGATAAATTCAGACTTTGTTTGAGACTCCCTCCTTTTSCTGCTTTATTGTTCACATACCTTATTTACCACTTTCCTAAGCAAGGGCAAACGGACAGGATTTCTGTCGCTGTCTCCAGCTGGAAATCTTGCTGCAGGAAAGCTACGCTCTGACCTCTGCTGGTGCAGAGCCGCAAACTGAGCCTCGAGAGCCTCTGTCCCCCACGAACGGCCTCTTCGCGGCCGTTTACATACAAAGATTTGCTCTAATCCTGGTTTTTTTTTGTATCGCACAGCAAAACTGTTGCGTGCGTTTCTCCCCTCCTTCAAGTGTTTTGTGTAACTGCTGCTTACCTGTATTGAGCAGTGCTTTTGGTTGCAGTGCAGCTTGAACAGTTAAGGTGTGGAAGAGCTTCCAGAGGGAGCAGGTGTAACCTCTCAGTTCGGCTCTGCTGCCCTGACATCCYACCCACTGAACTCGCTTAGTGAGAAATATCCCTGAAATCTGAAAAGAAGATGAATTTAAGATCTATGCATCCTTGAGATCTAAATGAATTTAATAAACAATTTTGGAAATTATAGTACAATAAACTTTAAAAAAGAAAAAAAAAATAGGACTTCTTGCTAATAAACTCATGTTTATGGCAGAGACATTAAAAACTTGGAACTATCCGGAAGTAAAATCTTTTTTTAGAGTATCTCTAATATTGACATATTCTGATGGGCTGTCGTTAATTTCATCCTTTTTGCAAATATATTACATGGTGTAGCACAGTCACAGATGTTAAACTTACCATGTTGCAGATCATGAATGTCTGATTATTCTGGTGGAATACATACCATAGCTTAACTTGTACCTTTTTTTTATATATATATATTATGTCAAAAAAAAAAAAAAAGACACACACATATTCATACACGCATACAACATTATTGTAGACTCAGTCTGAATTACAATTTCACTAGGGACAATATAAATACCTAATTAGTCTGTAAGAGCTACAAGACATAGCAGTCATATTAACAGAACAACATGTACAATTCATTACTATTTCTTCTACACAGAAAAAAGTCTAAAAATCTAGTGCAAGACGTTAGATGTAGTGAACTTATCTCTCTGCTTTCTAACACACACAAGTTTCCAGAATTCAGACAGCAATCTTGCTTTATGGAAAGAAGAGATTCATATTAAGGGAACAGTGTCAGTGCCAATGAACATCATGCACATGTTCATGCCTGTTTTGGAAAAGGATGAAGAGCAAAAGCAACTCAAAAATTTCTGCTGAGGATCTCAAATCATTTGAAGGTGACATGAGGAGCATCTATATATTAGTGACTGCGTGTCCATTACAAAATGGAGACAGGATTGCGTATTCCAATGCTCTCATTTCAATTCCTTCATGAGATATTTTTTTTCCCTGGTAATGATCTCACTTCATTTTAACCTTCTTATAACTCCATTATGACTGAGAGACTACCAGTAAGTGTTGTCTTAGATTTATATAGAATCTTATCCTTTACTAATGCTGTATTTTATGCTGGAAACTAGTAACAGCTTACCCGCATTTTGTTGTTGACCAGATCTAGGATAGCATCATAAGGGATTTTGTCTAATGGAAGGCTCACCAGCCACTCTTGCAAGGTCTCTAACAACTTCACCACAGGCGGACGGCCGGGGAAAAGCTGAGGGGGAGGAAAAAAACCAAAACAACAAACAAACAAATGAAACATCAACATTTTAAAGCTCAAATCTCATTAACACCAAAACCAGTTCTATATTTAGCTAAAGATATTTTTCTTATCTTTAACAGCTTCAGTTAAACTTAAGAGGCTATTTCTTTTGTTGCGAATGGTTTGTAGATTAATCATTTGTTAGGTTTCTCAACAAAAAGCTATTTTCTGCTACCATTTATTTACAGAATTTAACAAGCTGCATGCATAGAGTGTGTCTATTAAAAAAAGGCTACACATGAATTATTAACATCTTAACTTTTATAAGTGTAAGAATGAAGTGAATCAGAGATAAATCACAAAAATCAGTTCTTACAAATCTTCTGTTCAGATTTTTGTAAATGTACATGATTTCATTTTTCTGGAAAAGTACTGTCTTTTTCATATGTGTAACAGTGATTTCCAAACACCTGCAACTTAAAGAACTCAGGACTGGCAGGTAAGTATGAAGAACTGTAAAATACAGCTGTAATGTCATTACTTTACATGGGGAATGGTGGTTTTCATTGCTGATGTTTCTAATCCCTACAGAACTCCCTAGAGTTTGCAGAACATCCTCTAAGAACATTCCCCTTCCAGAGGGAACAGTTTCAACAGATCCTGTTGAAACACTTCCTATATCAGTAACATTAAATACACGTAGAAATTAATGACAAAAGATACTATACTTCAGCCAGCTCATTTTGTGGTTGCTGTCCAGTTATTAACCACTTCTCTTGCTGCCTCAAAGTCATTCATTTGATCTCGCGCCAGCCCCATGGCCAAATACTCCTTATTGCCAATTGTTTGTACAGGATCTAACAGGAGGGAACTGTGCATCATTGGGATTCAAAGACAACTCTTAAGTAGTCAGTAATAAGAGTGTACCTCTGAATTACTGACTGTAATTATTCAAAAGAATGGGCTTCTGGACAGCGAGCCAAAATATCCAATTCTACAACAAATACAATTTCCATGTAGGAGACTGTTTACAGCCTGCAAAAGATGCACACAGTTATGGTACCAACACTGCACACCTTGGCATGTTGGGACTCCCAAATCTAAAGGATCCTAATGGAAGCACATGAGAATTATGAATGAGAACTGCGAGAAAAGTGTTACACAACAAAAAAAAAAAATGCAGATAAAGGGCAGCATTCTCCAGCTATCCAATTGCAGCRTGAAGATGAGAGTGCAACTAAAGAGAGCATTCCCCATTTATGCACTAATAGCCAGGAAAGCAAATTACATCAGCTGGCCAGGAGCCATCAGGAAGAGCAGAGGATGTTTTAGGGATAATATGATGGAAAGATTAGCACTACACTTTCTTAAAGAAATGAGGCCAGCTGGAGATTTCTGACCTCTATGACTGTAGGGGGGCAAGAAACTGTCTGTCTGCTTTTTAGATAAATCCCAATTCTTGCAAATATTTCATACAATCCTGATTATTCCCTTAAGTAGCTACTGATTCGCCTTGTTCAAAATAAAAGAGTATGTTTATTATTCAGTAAGCAATGAGCCATTGGTCATTTCAGTTGACATTATAAAGTTAATTTTTTTTCAAGTCTTATCACATTACTTATATTGTCCTTTCACTCAGTATGATATGAGCATCTTTTTGAAACACTGTACATCAATTATATTCAAAATTTACAGGGAAGTCAGCAATATCTTTAAATACTCAATCACTCTATGAACATTATAACTGCCAAATAAGTTAATATGCATATGCATTAACAAAATCTGAACACAAAGAATGAAAAACAAGGTCCTCCTTCCCGTGCCCACCCCCCCCCAACACAATGGCTACTCACCATGAAAACCTGACAAATGGGCTAAATTTTTAGGGTGTATTCTATATGTAGCAGACCATGTAGCCTTTATTTTATTTTGAGCCTTTTAAGACAAACAACATTTAAATGCCTTCGGTCTTACCTGTATTTCAAAACTGCACACAACAGCTCAAAAATACCATTTAGAGAAACCCACAAAACTTTCATATTTTAGCTGGCAAGGAATCATATTTAAACTTATTTTGAAAGACACTTTGAGAGGCATATGTCACCTAAGAAATTTTATGTTAGAGTCGTTTTAATCTCGCAAATAATCAAAGATTAGGAGCATATACCTTGGCAGAGATGGTAACAAAATCCTTGAAGGTCTTCAGCTCTGCGCCCTCAAGCGTCTTGTGCGTGGCGAGCTCTACCCTGAGCAGGTAATGCAATCCTGACTCAAGGTCAGCCATGTACAGCTTAGATCTGAAACACACATATATAATGTTGTAAAGTGGCAGGTTTCTTTCGCTCATTTTCTCACCAGTCATGAAGGTAAAATTGATATATAGGAGGTGTCATTAAAACCTCAACATTTGCCACTCCACAGTGATTGCAGTCTATCCTGCACGGTGTATGGGAAGAATACAGCAGTAAGTAGAGCTGTTTGGTAGGGTGAATGTCAAGCTCAATGAGTTTCACTGTCTCCTCTTTTAGCAGAGGAGTTTTACTTCATTTTACGCAGCAATTAGAAAAACAAAGTATAACCATACATAAGTCCTTTTGTATTTGAGTAAACTTGCTGCCTCCTAGCCAGTTTTATCATGTACTGAAATTAGAACCTGACATTGTCGGCAAGGAAATAGGTGGTGTAAAGAAATTATAGCTTGTCTTCAGAATCCAAACAAACCAGAAATTATAACCTATGAAAAAGGGAGGTTTTGGTTAGCAAAACTAGATTATACACAGAGCAGGAATGTAAATAAGACTATGAAAAAGGTGATGCTAGAAAGGACTGAATCTCTAAATCCTTTCTAAAATATAGGAGGTTTACTGTAGGTTATTTGCATACAAATCACATTAGTCAAATCACATCAGTCTTGAGACATAAGTACCTTTTTATAGGTACAAGTAAAGCATATAAAGCAAATCAAAAGATTTTAACAGTTCGTCACAATTGGATCTATCACAGGAACAAAAAGAAAACATTCACAACACAAAGCACTTAACAAAATACAAATGCATCAAGTTAAACACGCTTTTACATAAAAGTGTTTAGCTCTATTATATGAATTTCTACTTGATGTGCTACATTGCTCTGCATCTTACTGACTCAAGGTTATAAACTGAAAGTATTGAAAAAGAGTTCAAAAGCAAGTATCACTTCTAAAAGCAAGCAGAATTAAATAAACAACTAATTAAAACACTATCTCTCCTTATATTAAGGTATAGCTTTCCACATGGCAAGAATAAAGTGCAAGCAAATTTTAATAAACAAGCATTAATCTGAAAGTCAAGGGTATCACTTACTTATCAAACTCTTTCCACTCCTTGATTTCTGTGCTCTCCTCTTTGTTTTCTTTTATAGGTAGCTGAGGTGGCGAAAGAAGCTTTTTTCTTACACCTGGCAGTGACTTTAAATACGAAGAAAARAAAGAGCGTAGGGGCTTCAAACTGCATATAAAGTAACAAAGCAAAGATTATTACAAAACAAGGAAAAGGAAGAGGGAACTACCATGTATTAACTACAGGCTAAGATACAATGTCACTATATAAATATAAACCAAAAATGTTACAAAATAGTTTCCTTTAATACAAAATTATAGCAATTGTTACAGTTCAAGAAAACCCCTTAAGGTAGGACACATCTCTCAGGTAACTACTTACATGTTAATTAATCCGTGGGATCCATTTGGATGCACCAGGTAGCACGAAGGGACAGAGCTAATCCCGAGTTTCTCCAGAAAAGGCTTATCAAAATTCAGTGCTCTCTTTACCACAATGTTTTCATACTGAATCAAGTCTAAGATAACCTGGGCAATGAAAAGATAACATGATTTATACATTGTACAAGGAATATCCAATCTTGTAGAACAAGACAGGTAGATAGGTGAAGTGCATCATCCTTTAAGAGTATCATTAAACTGTTCACCAAGRACTGCACTTACTAGCATTCTCTGGGTGGTAACAATTTCTCCCRAAGAAGATTTACTCTTCTCCGTAAATGATTTATTCCTGTCTTTTATCCTTTTCTTGTTCTACCCTGAGCTTTTCCTTTTGAAGTATAACATCCGAAGAAAACATGAGAATAAATGAATGATAAAATGTCCTCATAAACCTCAAAAKAGCCCAGAGGATATTTCTCAGGAACCAACCAGGTGTATGTTTCATGTATTTACATACATAYATATACAACCACACACATACATATATATGAGTGAGTATATGTGTTTAAAGGCAAATTTTCAGATAGTGAAGAAACATTAAAGCAASTGTGATAAAATGCTGAAAAATTTTACGTTCGTCACTTTTCTTTTCAGTAAGGTCCACTTGTATCAACACAACAGTTTCCAGAAACAAATGTCTGGAAGCTGTCTGTTTTTCAAAGTGATTCCCAGTTTTGGCAGCACAACCTCCTCCACTTACACAACTGGGTCATCTTGGCATCAAATCTAATTAGAAAAATTTCACAGACACTCGATGTTTTCTCCACAGATTAGGCCTTGATAATTAYGCAATTTATTTTCTTTACGTATCCTATATTTTGGCAGCAAGAGAAAAGTAACAGTTGCCTAAGCTAAGAGCAGGCTCATTAGGTGCTGATATGAGGCCAAATAGAGTATTTCACTTGCGGAGGATGAAGGGAAGGGAGGGGAGAAAGGAAGGGGGAGAGAGAGAGTCAAAAAAAATTAAAAAGAGCCTTTCCCTTTCTCAGTGCCTCAGATCTGTGAAAACATTTATTCTTTAAATGAGGATGACTGCWTAAAATTAAGATCCGTATGCAAAGAAAAGAAATTGGATATTTTAGATTGCTATAAAGARTTGAAATCACAAAATCTGCCCAAAAAACAAATATTATGAATGCTTCTRTAGCAATAATAAAAGAATAAGTCATGTATATATAATCCAACAATATTTTTCYTGTGATCTTGCAAATCTTGAAACTCAAAAGAATAACGCCAAGAATGAAATCTATTAGCTTTTTTTTTTTTCTGGGAATGTATGAAAACAAGTTGTTAACATGATATCATGCTCAGTTTTAAACAAGCTTTTTCCTCTGASTGAAGGCAACTTTAAAGCCTTATGTCATTATTTGACTTGCAGATATCTCAAACGTGCATGATCTTTTCATCTCCTCTTTAGTCTGGGTTAAATAATAATAAAAAACCCTCAGTTGTGTTACTGTCATTTATACTGTTTTTGTCATTCTTATGTCATACGTTACCTCTCGTCCAACATAGGAGTTACTATTTTCAAACACGATGGCAGTGTAATGAGGGCTACTCTTGCCAAAAAGGGAAGTAATATCACCGGACCTTACAAGAAGAAAAAAGCCATTTAGCACAGGAAAATGTAATAACTTCATTATTACTGATGTAATTSTCTTTAATCATCTTGTAGCAGAATAATCATATAAAATCTTACTTTAACAAGTCTTTTAACATTTCATTTAGCATAACCAGTTGTGTTTTCAACAAGGAACTTACAAAATTGGGGCCAGGGGAGGGCAAGCAGGTGGCCTCAGCTCTTGGGAGTGGTTCTGTAAGAAGTCAATCATCATCTGGCGAACTGTTTGCAGCTCCCGATCCGCTCCTGCTGAATACAGGTTACACAAGAAAGAACCAAATCCCCCCCAAACCACCCACAGAACTATTAAGAAAATAGAGTGGGAAAAAAAAAAAAGACTCACATACAGATTTTAACACAAATACATGTTTTTGTGGGCTAGGGTTTTGCTTTCATTTTGCTTGTTTGTTGATTTTGTTTTAAACAAGCAATACTATTTGGTTTAAGAACAGGAAGCAAGAATTTAAGTGTAGGATTCCATTTAAATGTGGAGGCAAGATGATACTTAAGAGCTGTCATCCTACCCCAAAATTAAAAACACCTCAAGATTTTTCCAGATCTAACCATCTGCCTGCCCTGCTGGTTTTCTCTTCAAAGATTGCTTCATACTAAGGCTGTGGGCTTTTGTTTTGTTTTGTTTTGGCAATACTTGCAGTGGGAGACTGTAGCAGCTCTTTTGCCATAAAGATATTTATTATGCATTAAATACTGCACAGCTGTACTATTCTTATCAAATAGACCAGGTGAGGTTACTACGCTACCTAACAGTAAAAGCAAATAACTTAAGTATGAGGATATTTTATATTTTTAAAGCAATTAAACCTAGAAGCTCTCACAAATGCCAAAAGTAACAGGTACAATTACAATCTCATTCTACATGAAGGCCTAATGGTGCAGGTGGTCTCTTCTCTGACCTCTGGCCTTTTAAATGTTAATCCATTGGAAAAGACAACATCACTTTTGTCTGCAGACAAACCACTTCAAGCTGTGATCCTGTCAGACACACAGGATAAGCCTGTTTTCAGATAGTCACCAGCTGAATGGGGGTTTTCCCAGTGAGATTCGGGATGCCTGGAAAGCGGCTGACAAGCAAATGGAATATCATGCTGGTGAGATGGGTTTTGTCTAAATGAATTACAAAAAGAAATGATGTAAGCATTTGTGAAAATTAGGAACTACATTTATGAATGTGAGGAGGATGAGGCCTAAGTTCCTGAACAAATGCCTACTTAAAAAACTGCCTGATGTTTCATTTCAAGAAGTATTTTATTGTCACATCTTAAAGGGCTACTCGGTATCTAATCTATCTGTAGATGTCTAAATTAATTGAAATTTAAAGTGATTTTGCTTGCTGCATTCCTGTGTGATGGGACAAATGCTATGGAGATTTCTTAAGAGTAGGATATTCTTACCTTTATAATTTTCTCCAGTCGTAAACTGCTTTGTAAATGCTTTGAAGTACTATGCAGGAGAGAAAAAAAAGAAAGTATTCCTTTGAAAACAACTCACTGCATGAGACCAAAGCTCAGCTTAGAGGAAAAATATGTTTTTCCTGGCTCTTAGAATACCATTCACAGATTTCTCAACTCCCTCCAGTGGTTAAAACATGGCATATAATGGAGCTCAACTGTGTTCTGTTATAAAAAATAGAAAACACCCAGTGTCTAGTAAAAAGTATCTTACAATTTATCCCCACAGCTTTAAAGAGGGAAAAAATACTCAGGCTCAGATCTCAAGACTGCATTACTATTCCAGATAACAGCATCAGTAACTCCAGTCAGCAAAAAGAACCCCAAAACTTTTTTAAGAGCTCTGTAGTTTTCTCTGCAAAACCAAAGAAATTAAACAGCTAAAAAAAAAGGGCCACATGCAATGCTCTGAGTGAACACATTTGCTATGGTCCTGATTTATAGAGCACGTACCATTTACATGATGCAATACGTAATGCCACCTACCCTAAACGTTGGGTAATAGTGAATACCATATTCTTTACATGTCTCGTAGTTCTCTTCTTCCCCACAATCGAGCACACCAATTCTGATCGCGGATTCCCAGTCTGAAAAGAAAGATATGTTAAATTTTCAGCAGAAGCAATYCCGCACTGATCTCTTGCTTATTTTACAAGATTAACCCAGCAGTTATCCATCCATATGGCTCTCAATTACATAACTATAWATTTCACGCATCTTGTACCATAGTTGATTTTAACACAGACTGGYTTTTAATGAGCTTATAATTTTCTCAGAGGCCTTAAGAATTGCATAGTTCCCAATGAGGAGTTCCAAGGCTCACATGTTGCCTCTTGAAAATGGTCTTATTTTCACGTGCACCTTGGGAATATGAGAAATGTACTTGAAAATATCCACATTTTAACTGAGAGGCTACATATTCCACTTGRGACATCACCAAATGCTTCTTTTTTAAATGTTTCATAGCATATGTCAAAGAGTTCAAGCATTTCTGCTGCTGAAATTCAGCTCGACCTTTAGTTGGAGTTGGAGTTGGAGGAGGCCGGAGCAGCTGACGGGGAATTTCAGTTGTACGGAACGTGCCAACAGCTGAACAGGCACCAGGAGCAACTACAAACATTCTAGCAGATGGGCACGCATTCACACGAGCACAAAAGATACAGCAGGCTATTTTATCAAATAAAACGCAAAATAAAAACAAAGTTTGGCTTCCCGGTATTTATCTCTTTCAGCTTCCACCACTCCTCCTGCCTTTTCCACCTGTCTGGACGCTCCTCCAGACAAAGAAGGGAGGCACCACAGCCCCCATGCAAAGAGCCCCCTGCACAACAAAGCCAGCCCACCCCAGCTAAATGCTCGGGTTAAAGAGCACCAGCTGGGGGATGCTGCTTAGCATCCCCTTCTGCTTAAAAAGGGGCTTTTCCTTCCTAAAGGATAAGACAGTCCCACTTCTGCAGCGCATGGCCCAGATCATATGCATTTATAGTGGCATTGGAGACCTTTTTTTTTAAAAAATATGCTGCTGAGCACTCTATTTTAAAATAGCGTTAGTATTTCTGAGGTGCCCTGTAACACGGTCTAGATTTCAGTGATTGCAGCCTGAAAATGGGGCAAATAAAACAGAGGGAGCCTGTTACACTGCATTTCAACAGAGTAAAACAATAAGCACACCATTCACAYGAGAAAAAGTCCAATCTGAGCAAACAGTTTAAACGCAGTATAACTAAGAATAAAGTAAACTAAGAATAAAGTTTCTGAGAAGTTATGCCAGAGACTCAAAATAGTTTCAATAACTGCACGAAAGAGGAAGGCCAGTGATACTATTTTAACCAACTCTACTTCTGTTTATGCTAAGGAAGTTCCAACAAATCACACAAACGTATTGGAAAAAATGAAACTGCAGCAAATTGGTCAAGTCTACCATTTAAAAGCGATACAGAATAAACACATCATGTTTACATGATGTGTAGGTTTTCCTACCTACAAATGGTAGGAAAGGAACTGTATTAACACAGGCCTCCTGTTTTGTACAAAGCACTTGCATCAGTGTAACTGAATTTCTAAATCACTAGTTAAATTAGCAAATTTATACAATATTTAATTGCCTACCTGTATGTGCAGATTTGCAAATCTGTACTTGCAAATTTAACACAGATGAGCCTGCATGCTCAAAATTATTTGCAGAAAAATGACACTACACAAATCAGCTGCATTTGCTGGTAGTACAAATGTCGACAAACATAAAATCAACTTTTTAAATGCAAATCTTCATAAGAGCTTAATCCCTAAGGGGTATATTATTACACTAAGGCCAGTTCAAGGCCAAGTGCACAATCTTATTCAGTTAGTTTGACTGCAGATGAAAGTTTATTACCCTTAGGACTGGTTCTAACTGCAGATGAACAATGATTATATATATATACACATGTATCTATATATTTATGTTTGAAGGAGTCATTGTAAGTTGTAGGAACATGCACAGAGCCTCTCCAGTGCCATGGTCTTTATTATATGTGGTTTAGCTTTTAAAATACTTTAGGCTTTACAAACAAGGGCAGAATAACGTTGTGGTTGTTGAGTTTACAGTCTAAACATACCCTTGTGCCTTCGTGCATCCACTTGCACCCCACAACGCTCATGGAGGCGTTTGCGGGCAGTTTTACAACTATCTCTGTAAATCTGTGGTGTTTCTTTCCTGCTGTTTTGCAGCCTTTCCCTTTGAGCCCAGCCTGTCTTCCCTGCTCCAGGCTCTGCACTATCCCACAAGGGCAGCAAGGGCTCCTCCTTATGGGGGAAGCAGAGAGGGGGTGACCGCRCGTCAGGGGACGAGGTGACACGTGCCAGGGTGTGACCAAGCGCTGCCACGACCCGGGTGGGACAGGGCGCCACTGCAACGCGGGGGACGAGGAGCCGCCACGCGTGACGGGGCCGTGTCGCGACCCACGGCGAGGCCCCGCAGCGCCCCACATGTGATGAGGCACCATCACGCGTGACAGGGCCACGTCGTGACCCACATGTGACAAGGCCACATCACAGGTGACAGGGCCACGTTGTGACCCACAGGGGCTGTGTTGTGACCCACAGCGAGGCCCCATCGTGTCCCACGCACAACAAGGCACCATCACAGGTGACAGGGCCACGTCGTGACCCACTGCAAGGCCCCATCGCACCCACACGCAGTGTCACCAAGCAGCCCCCCTCCACCCCCGGCCTCATCCCCACGGAGGCGACAAGCGGCCCCAGTCGGGCCTAAGGGCCGTTACCGGGGCCTCCCTGGGGGGGACTCACCCTTGACGTCCCCCGCGAGCGCCCGCCAGGTGGGAGCGAAGGCGACGCAGTGCCCGCACGAGGAGCTGTAGAACTGCACGAGCCAGGCGGCCGAGGAGTTGAGCAGCGCGCGCCGCACGGTGCCGGCCGCCAGCACGCTGAGCGGGTCCTCCCCGGCGCGGTAGAGCCGCCCGGCCGCCAGCGCCGCCGCCGCCGAGGGCGACGAGAAGGCGGCGGGCAAGGCGAAGAGCGCGGGCCCCAGCGCCAGGAAGGGCAAAGGGCAGATCGAGAAGAGGAAGCTGCGCGAGAAGCGCCGCTCCACAGGTGTCGTGAACATCCCGGCCGCGGAGGTGAGAGCCGCGCGCGTGCTAGCACACACACACTGCCTGTCTCACCGCCTTTGCCTTCTCCTCCCTTCCCTTNGCGGCGCGCGGGGCGGCGCTCCCTGGCAACGCGGCGCCATGGCAACGCGGCGCCATGGCAACGCGCGCGCGCCCTGGAGACACGGCCTAGCGCGGGCTGCGCCGCCTGGGCCGGAGTGATTGCCTTGATTAATAGTCCTCCCTCCAAAATGGGGTGCGGGACCTGCACTCTCTACTAGAAATACAAATGTCATCTCCACGGGGATTTTTAATAAGCTGAAAACTGCCGGTTTTGGCCAGAAAATGGATTTATCCCKGTGTCTGCAACTCTTCAGGAGGGGATGACTCTTCTCAAAACTCTACATAACACAAAAACCTGTCAAGCAGCGTGCAAGAGCGGTGCAAAAGGGGTGTATGAAACACTTAGCCTTTATGATTCTAACATACTTAGCTTTTTGGGGCTAATCATTCATTTTAATCCCTTTTGCAGCACTTCAGTCTCCTTTCACCTGCAGATACAGTCTTAAAAATCATCATTACATCAGTAAAATTTTGGAAAAAAAAAAAAAAAAACAAAACACCCCACATCTGGGAGCAGATGCAGACACCTGGCCTGCTCTTTCCTGCGTACTCCCTTCCTTCTCAGCCACTAATACATAAAATGCTTATCTTGCACATCCTTTACATCCATATTTGCAGCTGTAATTCCCATAGCTCCCCATATTAGATCCAAGTTTTGTTTTCCCCTATTTTTCCCATATGTTATAAGCAAAGAAAAGAGAGATGGTTACAAAAGAAGAGTCCAAGCGCATCAAAGAACTGGAAATCATACAGCACCTGCTAATTAGGAATTGAAAAGCTGCAGCACTTAAGATATTTTAGAGTGTATTTTATTCCGAAGAAGAATTGTTAAGTGTGTGAGCATGAAAAAGATGGATTACAGGAAAATTAAATGTAGGGTTTAACTGAGAAATAATCATTTTMTATGAAAGATAATGACTCCTCTGGAGGCTAGTATCAAGATTTATTGACCCAGGAGGTTAATATTGATCAAAACCAAGGCAAACAAAATATTAAACCTTGAAGTAGAGTAATCTCGATATTGAAGTCTTGCCACTGCCTGAACAGGTCAATATATCTGTGTGCCAGAACCTAAGGTTTTGAACACATCATGGTGGAGGATATTAAATATTTTTGACACATTCTGGGTAAACGCTTTCTATTCTCATCAGCTGTCATTACTTTATAGCTGTGTCCTTCTGTATATGGCCATCTCACAAAGATCCAGGTTTCACTCACAAACCTGATTGCAAATATAATGGTTATTCTTCCTCAAGTTTAACACCCAGAGTAACATAAGGCTCCACACTGGGGAAAAAAAGCAAGTCCTTCATCAACTCGCTCACATGTATAAATGATTTTAATAGCTCTCATTTTAAATATAAGAAGGATGCTGATAATGCTGGTATCAAACTCTGACAGTGAACTGTGAAAAAATGTAGAGCTTCAATGCATAGATTTGTCTCACTATCCAACAACTTGTCTACAAATCTGGAATGAAAAAAATATTGGATTAAATTCTACCATGAGGTGACAAAAAGAAAACCTTTATCTTGGAACAAATAACTTATCTGGACTAATTAATCAATGAGGATAAGAGGAAGGGAGGAGATAATTTTCATTCCCTTATGAAACTTGGGATATGCAGTTATAAGGATCCTCTTCTGCAGGGTCCACATGTCAGAAATGAAAATAAGGACTAAAGATATGAAAATAGCGTAAAAGATAAGATTTAAGCTTCTCAGGCTAGGATATGCCTTTTGATGTCTGCTCATATGGTAACTAGCATAAGGGGGCTTTTAGTGTCCCTACAAGTTACTAGAATTTATAAACAGTAGAAGTGTGTACAACAGTCTGAAATGAATGGGAATTTCAGCAAAAAATAGAAAAAGATACATTTATTTATTCAGAGAACAATTCCATATGAAAAAATAATTTTGAACCCTCAGTATTTAAAAATAGAAACTACAAATGAGTTTATATTCTGCTTTTTTCTACCAAAACCAGATTTCATGTTATTTTAAATACAAATATTTAATTTATATAGTTCCCTGCTCTTATTTCATTTGAAAGATGCCCTGAATGATCTGGATTGGAATAAATAGAATCTACTTAAAGTATTCAGTAATAGAGTTCATGAATATCAGCAAGATAAATATTTGCATTTTATTAGAACACTATTAAATATAGACTTCTCATTGGTCTTCTCTTAATGCAAAATAGGTGGGATCACAGGGAGGCACAATGAAAAGCAAGRATGATCAAAGAATTTTTATGTTACCTTGCTAAAATCTTAATTTCACCAATTTTCTAATACAAGAATTCTATTTTATTTTCTTCTTTCTTTCCTCCAATAAAAATAATTACATCCTTATGACATCTAAACATAAGAATTCAAGGACTCATGAACTGAATGTTAAAGAACTTGTATGTATATTTATGGAAACATTCATATTTAGAATTTGGAAATTCATAAAACTGGTATTACTAGTAGGAAAGCGTCCCATTTAAAGTGCATCATATTAGTATGTGTCTGTTTAGAACAGAAACTCTAGATCTGGATCCTGCCAGGCCGTTCTAAGGACRTTGCTGGTGCAGAAAAGGGGCTAAACCTGAGAAATACATTCTATCTGCATAAGCTTCCTTTCATTGTAAACATGGACATATAACTTAGCCTGAGGGCATGCTGGTATTGGGGATATGTGCTGAGGATACAGTTCAAAATTAAAATGTTTAATTTTGCATTTTTTTGCCTTAAAAGCCACAAAGATTAAAATTTCACCACTAGGCCCTTTTAGCCAATCCTTCTAATCACAGCCTCGTCTCAGACAGATCTTATTAAGAACTCTGATTGTGTCAAGGATCAAGCTATCGAATATGTCTTCAGTTACTCTCATCTTCACAGTTAATTCATCATCATCATAGTAGGTCCACTGAGGTTCTTCTTTGTGGAGCTCTTGAATCTAAAATATAATGTGGATATGAATGTTTACTTCAGGAATAAGAGCATAATCAGTTCTGCAAGGTACACGCAGCTGTAAGCCCTGTCCAACAGCTTCATACATGCATCAATTCAATGTCAAAACCAAAATAAAAATAGCTACCTCCTTTTCTAATAAAGCCCACTTAAACCACTCATAAGAATTAACAGTGGTTTATTGCAAACATACTGAAAAGGAAAAAAAAATGACTTGAAACTCTCGAGTTTTGACTCTTGTATTGAAAAGCAAATAAAGCTCCACTTGGATGTCTGCTTACCAGAATGAGGTCCACTCTGTCTCTCTTACAGTTTCCAAACTTGGTCATATTAAGGAATTTTCTTTTCATTTCTATGTCGTTCTTTTCCAAGTTCATTATTTTAATAATTTCACCCTGAACAAATGTCTACAAAATAAAAAAGGCTGAAAAGAACTGTTCTCATAGGAAATCTGTCATTGTGAAGGTTGCAAATGACAGACATGGTGCCACTTGAACATCCAGCTTCGGATCTAGAGATATCCCAAAGTTTAGGGAGCTGATTTAGAGGTAGCTGGTTAATAGAAATCAACACATTTTAAATAAAAGATTTTCATAGTCTGGAAGACTTAGAAGCCCCATTCCCACTCCCCTACAGAATTTCATGCACTTGGCATATTTAGACTAACTAATCATCTTGGTCTATATTTAAGCATTTCTCAACAATGCTGTTTTCTCACATCATCTCAGTTGCACTGCCATAACCCTCCCAATTTTCACGTCCTTGCCATTTTGCCATTGCAATMTCTTCTCTCTTCATTGACTCTCATTACTGCGTGCTCTACACTTCCAGAATGTACCTTGACCTCATTGACGTCTGTTCTTCCACCTAGACGCCTGGAACAGGAAGATCTCAAATTTTCTTTCAGCCATGGAAATGTATTTGGATTTACAGCTGCGTGATATTCTGCACAGAGCAACTCATGGGTCAAATCAAATATAATCTGTGGCAAAAAGAAAACATAACACCAAAATAAAATGAATCCTTTCTCAAAAGTTTTCTTAKTTTTTCTGGAAGAACTCAGACTGGTGGCAACAGTGATTAATAATAAGAGTTTAGTGCTCTAGAAATACCTGATTATACATCCTCTTGCTTTCTGTTTCCACATGGTTCTCTGAGAAGTCATCACACTCAAAATGCTTTGGCACACTGATTTTCCTGCAATTTGAATGCACGTTTTCTGGAGTCCATAATTCTTCTACAGCCCGAGCAGACAATTTCTTCACATATGAAGTGTGATGTGGTACCACAAGAGGAACCTCCACGGTTTTCTTCCAAGGAGCTGAGTGCCACTGATCTAATTTGTACAAGTATTGCTTTTGTGTTTGTCTCTCCAGAGTACATCGGTCAGAATTAGGTTGATCAAAATCTCCAGAGCTTCCAAAAACACCAGCATCAAGGAGTTTTATAAGGAACTTAAGTAGGGAGAAAAAGACAGATGACAATATTCCATATTTTACATGATTTTTAGAAGTATTGAAATGCTTAACAGCTGATTTATGGTTACACTTAAAGGAATAAGAATACTTTACTCATGGTTCTCAATGAAAAGACCACTGATGAGTAGGAAAATGCCTACTTTAATTGTATTTGGCAGAATTCAGAATTAGAATTTCAAATTTGAGTTCCATGATAATTTTTGACATTTTCTAATATTTTAATTATGAATTGGGAAAATTCCACYCCAAAACAAAGCTTTTTCCTGTATTTGGTAATACTTCCTGATGGACTACTGAGGATGTAAAAGTTGGTCCTTCTGGGAATTCTGTATGTGAGGGGTGGGTCAAATTAAGGAACAATCTGTTTCCAGATGTTGACATGATCATGATAAACAACTGAACAGCACAAACGGTTGTTTAGCCTGTGTAGACCCAAGTGCAGGTCTGACACTCATGTACACAAACACTTCCCCACTCTACTTACTGGTGAAGGGGCTGGAGAAGTATCTGAAGATGAATGAAATATCCTGTCTGCCTTTTCTCCATGTTTTCTTTTAATCTTCTTATATTCTTTAACGGCATCGTCCACGAATTTAGTTACAATTCTTTCCGCTACTGTGTGACAACCGTGGATGCTAAGCATATCAAAATCACACAGTAAAGCCTCAGAAACCTTTGCTGATGGTTCAGATAAATTATCAGCTGRATTTTCTTTGAAGAGAGATTCTTTCTGCTTATCTTCTTGTCGTGGGCCTTTGCTATAATTCATCACTTCTTTTTCAAAGGCACTTTTATGTTTATGTTGAGCTGTTTCAGAAAATGCAATTAAAGTGTCAAACAGAAGTTTTTTACTGAGTTCACTTGCGATATCATCAGCAAGTTTATATCTTTTCTGATCTTCTACTGAGCAACAAACATTTCTGCTTGTGTTTCCCTCATCTCTGCCGTTGGTCTTATTTTCCATTGGAAGGACATCTGCAAGGATCCCTGGTTTTATTTGTCCCAGCTCCACTTTTTCTTTATCTGATTGCAAGCACATTAAATTGCTTTGACAAAGGAATTCATTACTCTTGCACTGACCATAACTTGGAGGCTTTTGCCCTGTTCCAGACAGCAAGGCAAGCTGTAACCCAGACTGTTTTTCTTTCACTTCTGATCCTCCTACACTGTTCATGTCTTCAGCTTTCTGCTCCGCAAACCCTGCTCCCTTCTTTTCATCTTCAGCATATTTGCAGTCTCCTGGGAAAGATTCATCACCAGAGAAGGAGTCGTCGTCTTCTGTGTAACTGGGACCACTTTCATGCCCCTCTAGCAAGTGTGAGATTTGATCAGGTSTGACAAAGATGCCACAATTCTGAGCACACTCAAAATACTTCACTCCTTGGTAGGTTCCCGCATTGTCCCCTTCCGCTTTGTCCAGTGCAACACCAGCCCAATAGCCGCTATCAAAGCAAGTCTGTCCTTTGAACATCAACGTCCCTGATCGTGTCTTCTTTACTAACACTCTGTCTCCAATTTCAAATGATGATAATGGGTCATCACTGTCCTCCTCAGCTTTGGGAAGTGTTGAGTGTGTTTTGCACAGCTTCTTCATGAGCTCAGTATTTTCACTGGCATCATCAGAAGAAATAGGATTTGGCACATGCAGAAGCTCCACACACTGCAAAGACATCTTACCTCCCCCTTGCTCTTGTTCTAGGAAGTTCTTCCTTGGGCTGGAAATATCTTCTTTAAATAAAGATTGTTCTGAGAGATTACCATCCTGAGTTGAAAAAGCATCAGTTGACTCTGGATTGAGGGGAAGAAATTCTTCAGGCACAGTGTTATCAGGTAATGAGGGTAATGCATCCATTTTCAGTGATATATCTTCATCCATACACTGTCTAGTCTCTGGGAACATCATTTGTTCTGGTGGAGATGGGAAATCATCCGTACTGAAGCTAGAATCATCATTTTTCATTGCATCTACACCCAAAAGAGGAGGAGGAGGAGGAGGAGGAGGAGGGAGATCTTCATTTGGAAATGACAAATCCTTCTTACTAGAGGACGGCAAGTCAGCACTTCCATAGGACAACACTTCATCAACAGGAGACAGTATTTCTGACAAGGTGTCCTCATCAGCTGGAAGGAGACCCTCATCACTAATAAAAATGGTGTCATCTTCACACCTGGAGGAACAGTTCTCAGCTTGAAACATCTGCTCTTTTGAAGAATCAGAAGAAAGCAGTCCCCTCCCCATTTCCCTAGGGGCTTGCCTTTGAGCTGTTGAATTATTTCGATTTTCTGTGGCCACCCTCTGCAATGATTCCTGTGAAGTGATTCTAGTTTTTGTATGGGGTTCCTCAGAAATTCCTGGCATGGATGTAGGCAGAGAGACAATTTTACTGAGCTTGCTGGCTGCAAGTTTCTCATGGAAAAGCTGTGTATTATTTCCACCTTCTGACAGTGATAAATCTCTGGAGGACAGACACGCTACTAATTTATCAGCTGCAGTGTCTTTCTCAGGTGGGAAAAGGGCAGGGTTACTAAATTGGTCAGCAACCAAATGCTGATGTTTCATAGGGCCTGCCAGTAGAAACCCCATTAACTCTGTATTTTGATCCACAGATGTACTATTAATTTCACCATCCCTTTTCACACTACTGGTTGTAGAACTGGAATTCTGCTGTGTAGAGATCTTCTTATTTAAGTAAATATCATCACTGTACCGAGAGCTGGTACCTTCCTCTCTATCCTGCCCAGAAATCTCTGGAGAAGGGACATTTCTACCATTATCTTCTGAGCCTTCCAAATGTGGTTCATCCATTTCCTCAGCAGGATTATCAGACTGAAAGGAATGTGATGACTTTGTTTTGGAGCCATTTYCATTGTCAGATGGGATGAAATAAAGCAAGTTATCTGTGCATCCGTGATCTGAAACATTTCCAGGATTTTTCTGAGAGCTCTGACTGCATGATGAAATCCCAGGAGTGCAGACAGCTTTGGGCACTTGTTCATCACATTTGTCACCCGGTAGCACCTCTTTTCTGGCACTTATTGCTATTAGGGTGTGTGTTTCAGTGTCAGGGAACACCGCAGCATTATCATAGGCAAACTCTTCTGGGATACTGATATCTGTRTCCTCTCCATTCTTCACCTCTAATTCGGAATCTGAAATGGAGCTTTCTGAGATGTCAATCCATATTGCAGACACTTTCTGAAAATCTGCAAGGGAAGAGTCCGACTTGGCACTCCCACCTGCCAGAGACAAGTTGGGCTTCTKGCCTCTTCCAACCTGCAGGAAGTATGATCAAGAGTCACCGAGTGTACAAGAAACCAAAAAGAAAACCAGTCAATTGCTGCTGCACTTCCCCCCACACTTAAGGACAATATTTGAGAACACAGTATAGCAAAACTTCATATAAAATTCTAAGCTTCACACATGCCTGAAATGGACTGAAGTCCTGCTCTTCTCGAGCTTCATGACTCATCTGCCTCCTGTGGACCTTCTCCACTGTCAGAGAATCATCCTGCAGACCTTCCTCCATGGGTGATGTGCTGTCACCTGAAATACAAAGATTACTCAGTACAGGAGGCAAATTCACATTTCTCCTTTCTCTAAATTGCACAAAGCAGCCAAGACTAACAGAATCTAAGTCTTGCTTCTAGAAGTTATGGTAACGTCTATGCACTGATTCTCTAGGCTATGAAACAATAAAAACTTCTGCCAGATTAAAAAATGAGGCTAAAACACTAAAGGTAAAACCATCAGCCTTCCATCAGAGTCCAGAAGGAGAGGATTTACTTCAGATAACTTGATGTCCATGTGTTAGGCTTGAGAATCTAGCTAATATGCAGCCTGTACTATTTCTCTATCATTTAAACCATTGTTATTAAATCTTAATTACACAATAAAAAGCTATARCCACCCTCACCAGTGTATCAAGGAACAAAAGCAGACACATAGCRCATTAGAAAAATGGCACCAACACAAACTGTTGCCATCATATATAAATATTTATAATATACAGATTATGCATACAGAGCTATATGAACGACATAACTGGCTCATATATAAACAACCAGTTCTATTTTTTATAAGTTGTGCTGAGTGCAAGAAATATGAACTGACAATAAAACCTGGAAACAAAAATAACTCCAGGATGTCCTCTCAAAATCTCTCTTCAACTGATCTATGGTCTTTTAAAATGAATACCCTTAAATTATTTTTAAAATGCCTCAAAAGAAAGTAAATTGTTAATGACACAATCAGAATAAGTTATGATTTTCCTCTGAGGAAGCGGCATAATCATATCTCATAATAAACCTTTGAGAGATCTCCACCATCTTGCCTAGCRGTGATTTATACATTGGATATAGTGAGCAGGACACTTAGGTAATAAATGAGAAGATTTTCTCTCTTTCTGTCTGGATTAAAGTTTGATTGAAGTGGTTGAAACAGATTGGACATAATAGCATTAAATTTGATTTACCTGTTTCTTGAAGAGTATTTTCTGCCTGAACCAGGCATAAGTTACACAATGTAGAAAGCATCCCCAAGCCTTTCACGGGAAACTTCCCTTCACACGGATTARTATCTTCATTGTTCTTATGATCTAGCTTTGGGCTTGAAATAAATGCCTCTTTCTCCAGCATAGATTCCTAGAATRTAAGTATTTAAGAGATAGAATTAGTGTCTTAAGGGTAAAGGACTATGCTATTGACAGACCATCGCAAAGAATAGTTAAGAGATCAACCGAGATTACCCCTACATGTTCCCACTCAGACTGTACACGTACATGGACTTCTGCACATATATAACCACTTTATATCTCTGGGGACAGAGATATCTGTGCACCCACTGTGGACAGGTAGAGTTTCCTGCTCGAGGACAGGAGGTTTAGCTGTTCCTGGTGCAGCACCAGACTTGTCCAAGGGAGATGGGCTTAAACACCTCACCAGTTAACAACACAGAGAAAGTGGAAGGGGCAGGAAGGCTGGAACAAAGCAGCCCAGGCCAAAATACAGTTTTCAGCTGYATGCCAGTGCACGAAGTCAACACACTGCTTAATTTCTAGCTGATGTTCATAAGTGCTGAAAGAGCCTTGTTCTGGTCTTGTCTTAATATGAATGTAATCTGGGGCATATTTCCTTAGGCAGAAATGGAATTCCAGAGATTATTTTCTTACCGGAAATGCGTATTTTTTGCCTCCTCCTGGAATGGGTACAGATATAGCCTCATCTATTCTAGCTGAATTTGCATGTTCCAGATGTAAGAAAACATGATCTTGAGCATTAAACTCTGAAAAGTACAATGTTAAGTTACAGTGTTTGCAATGCTGCATTTTTATTTATAAGTTGGCTATAACCTTGTTTATTTCAGTCATAAATGCTCAATTAAAAGCATTTTTAGTTTGAATAACTCTCAATTTTGTCACACACATTCCTTGTCACCCCAACAGAAACTTAAAGAACCAAAGACCTTACTTATCTGAACATCAGCTAACTTGCAATCTGCTTACTTGGTAGCAGCCGTAATGTCTGCTTCCAAGAATTACTGCACTCTCTCTCTATGTATTACATAAAAATTTCCACCTTGTTACACCTTCTTAGTGCTGAAGAGATCCTTGCAACAACAGCCAGTCTTCCCCTGAAAGAGCATTTAAACTATTCCGAAGAGCAGCTGAGATTTCAGCTTTCGCAGCAAGTCATTCATTTCATCTCAGCGGTCACAAACACGGTTTGTCACAGAAGCCTTTTTTTAAATCAAATACCTGTGTTTTTGTGATCCTTAACCATCAAGAGCAAGGTTGTGTTTTGACCAGTGGTCATTTTTTTGTCCACTGCTTCAGAAACATCAGGAGTTTGTGCACCGAGTGACTGCTCCGAGCCCGGAGCCTCCTCTGCCCGTTTCTGGTGTTGTACCAACCGTTCCCTGCTCTTTGTAGAAAAGCTGCAAACAATTGGACAAGAAATTAATGATTTGGAGTTGTTCTCACATTCACCAATTAATCACGACAAATCTCTGTGAAGTCAATACAGACAGGAACTAAATGCTTCTGGTAGTCCTTAGTAGGACATATAGAGTGCTCATATGCACATACGTTTGTAAAGCAACAATTTAATAGACAGAAACAGACTCTGAATAGCGTATTTATTTCTCCATTCTCCTCCCTCTCGCTCAGTACTGTATTTTATATGGTATTAGTTTCATGCCTTTTTATACAAGATTGGGGTTAATGAAAGAAATCATTGGCACTCAAAAAGCAAAATCAGCGTCACATTCTGAACCTATATGCCTCCTCCTGCTTCAATCAATGATCCCACATCAGATCCCAATGGATCATTTACATTTTCCATTTTAAATACAATGTCAAAGATTTGTGGACATTTGGGATGTCAAATGTTGGTTGTGAGAGTGACTTTGAACTTTCTGATTATAGAAGAKGAATCTGTCATCTCCAAAAGAACAAGGCAAAGTCGGTACTCATGGGCATTTCTGTTAGTGGTACAGGTGCTATAATACACAGTAAGTAATACTGTCCAGAAAAAAAACAATGATCCACATATTTTATCCATCCAATAATTTATAATTACAATTTCTGTATGCCTTATTTTTAGAATTTATCATTTTCAGTCCAGTGACGTGTATACATTTACAACAGCATAGAGAAACAGCTTAAAAGCAGGCTTCTGAGGAATGGGAAAGAAAAAGCTGTAGTCATTAGGAACTGGTTTAAATTTGCTGAAATCTACAGCCAGATCCATTCCTTGTCTACATAAGCAATGCTGCTTCTGTCAGCAGGATTCACAGTTAACTGCCCTGGGTCTGGATCAGCCTCAGCTCTCAGAGGAAAGCTGCAAAACTGATATTGGATTTCATCTGTCATTAAGCTTTTGCTCAGGTACAGCTATTTTGCATTTGGATAATAATTTTAAAGAACTTTTTTTTTCCTTTTGTAAATGAGTAAATATTGCATTATATTGCATTTTACAGTAACCTAGCCCACAATCCTGGAAGCAGATAGCTTATGCAGTCAGCTTATGCAGAGTCCTCCTTACAGGCAGTAAAATGCAGCACTTAACTACCAGACTGATCCATTAATAGAATGCAACACCAGCAGCCATCTCTGCAGGTTGGCAATTTATTTAATATTTCACTTTAATTTTCAAAAGTATTCCCCGACCCTTTCCACCCCCTTGCAGCGCTGCTTAATAACTATTTCCCTAATCAGTATAAAACGTTAACATACCTGCACTGGTGGATAGATAGCATAATTACCACTCTGTGCTCTTACACAGCAAACAGATCTATACAATAACACAGCAGGCAGTTTGGGCACAGGGCAACAGGACTTTCCCTAATATTCACTGATCTCCTATGAGCAGACTCGTCAGGAGTAAGAAGTGAAAGCAGAGCCAAGAAACCTTTTAAAGATTCCTGTGACTCGTAATCAATAACGCCATGAATTATAGATCAGCTTCATGCAGAGATTTATTTGAAAGCCTTTCCCTGCGGGGGCTTAAGTAAATGCACAGCCCTAACTCACCAGGCTGCCAAAGCAGCTCCAGGTATCACTCAATGAAGGGTCTTTTATTCATATAGATACATATTTGTGTTTAATTGTGCCTATTTTTCTGTAAAGCAAAGCAGATGCTGGATTGCCTGTTTTGGAAGATGGGTGTTGTGAGCAGTAGGGTGATGCTGGAGTCTCATATCCCTGCTCAGCACCTCCTGCTCCGTGGGAAGCAACGGAAGAGCTTTGGGGTTAGGGATGCAGCGCCTAGGGAGACGTTTCTCAGAGCAGAGTGAGGCTGAACTCCTGAACTGCCTCTGACTTGGGGCATTTTGCACGRCCCCTCTGTGCTTACACACAAAATAAAGCACGAGACTAAGCAAACAACCTGGTCCGTGGGGTTAAGTGATACACAGGCTTAGAGCCAGCACATGACAAATGAGTGAATTTCACCAATTAAATCAATACATCTCTGCTCCTTTCATATGAGGCTTTTTTGAAGTTTAATTAATAGATAGTTGCAAAGTGTTTTGAGTTTGTAGCTAAAAGCCATCATGAAAATGYGAGTTTTCATTAGTAGCTGTATAGTATCATTAAAAAATATCCAGGTTATTAATGCTATGTAAATTAATATACCTATGCCCAGCAACATCAATCGAAGCTATTTTTCTCTAATATTGCAATGTAAGGGCCCAGTCTCACATATATATTTAATGCTTAATATTTTATGATCTGGAAAATCACAAATAAAACGTCATACTTGCTTGCACAAAAACAATTGTAATCCTAAATGCGAGAATATAGGGCTATTCAAACCAAAACACGGCTGYCCGGGGAACAAATATTACTCTACCTTTCGCACCTGGGGTTGGTCATCATGATAACCAGGGATCTTGATGCACCAGCTGCTTGACCAAACAGGTTTTTGAAACTTACCAAGGCAAAACTCCCTCTTGAGAACATTTAAAGTTTACAAAATTATGCAGGATTTATATAAAAGATGATATATATATATATCTTCTCAACTAGGCTGCTTTTCATCTACAGCTATCACTATGGAAAGGGTTTTACTTACTCCTCATAGTCCTTGGCTTGTTTCTCCTTTAGGAAGACACAGCACACACTGCTCTCTGACACAGCTGGGCTGTCGGACTGTGCCGTGGATTCTGCTGAGATGGGATGCAATGCTGGGCTGGAAATCAGTCTCACCCTCTGCTGCTTTATTGCTGGACTCTTCGTAAGCTAAAAAAAAAAAAAGGGTAGAGCGTAAGGCTTTACCTGGGTTCCTCAGTTGCAATGCCAGCTCTGATTTCAGTTATTATCCTCCTAAAAAACCAAAAACACAAAACAAAAAAAGACTGCAAAAATAACCAAAGAACTGTGACTTAATAAAAAYTCCATTACATAAGAACAGAATACTTTGAAAATGCCCCAGCTAGTGTGTATGCAGTGTGGGGTACTTAGGTAAGAGTATTTTATCCTATTTCTGAACAGTAATCATTCAACTTGCAAATAAGTTATCATTTAGTAGTTGAAAAAGTGTCAATCTGTAAGACTGCCTTTAAAGGGAAGGCTTGCATAACCAAAAAGCATTTGCATATATATCTTTCAGTATATCAAATCCACCTTGGAATCTGAGCTGGGCTGAATTTCACCTAGCAGGATTATGTAAATATATAGGTTTGAACAAAATTATTCTAGGAYAGAACATGGCCATACTGCGCAGCTGACAGTTTCTGCAACATTATTTTTTTAATCTGTTACATGAGAATTATTGTCTTAAGTTTAATAAGCTGATACTTTTCTTCATCATTACAACTAATAGGAAAATTAGCCAATTCTGAAACTGTGGCACATTAAAGTCTAAACCTTATGTTACACACAACTGTGAACTAAAARCATTATTCATGGAGTTACTTAATAACCTCTTGCTTCCCACTCAAGTTATTCAGATCTTCCTGGAGCTGTGCTGTTGAACGCCTCATCCTCAAGAGCTCTCTTTGCTGCTTTAATAAAAGCTTCCTTTCTTGATGAGCTGCCTTGTAGATGTTTTGCAGATACTTGATTTCTGCCTACACAGTAGGAGAGGAACATGAGAGAGAGTTAAGATATAAAAATGGAGGAAAGAGGCTAAATAAAAAGTGCATATTATTAACGTAGGGCTTTGCATGGTCCCATCTCGGCACAGAAGAGCAAACAACTCTTTAGAGTTACTGCTGTCCTATAAAAAAAGAGTTTGTCCTGCATACACAAGTGATCTATTGGACAGGCAAAACTTTGAGGCCTTCTTCCCTCATCCTCTCACAACAGTCCTTCAAATATTGGCTGTCCATATGCCACTAATTCCTAGAATTGAATTAACGAATGAGCTACATGCTACTCGCAGTGCAACAACCGTGTAGGCATAAGGAAGTAAAGCAGAATAACAACTCACAAGCTGCTGCTTATTTAGAGCTGCCTTTATTGGAGTCAGGGTACTGTGTTCATCCTAAGGGCTTTAAAAGAACAGAGATCACTTCTCTGAGCTGTCCAAATATACAGAGAAAATTCACTGAGTCTAAGTATCTCCCAAAGCAAATATTCCCACTGATGTAAAGAGAACCTGGAGCTGCATGTGAGTTCTGAGTTTGTGTTTATGCATCTAGGGCTCGTTCTCATAGTTACTGAAATTCAACAGTTTCTAGATGATTTCAGAATATGAGGCTAGAAGGGAAAACAAACAAGGTAAAGTCTTTTCCTTTCTTTCTGGACCAGAAGAGCTTACCTCTAAATTGTGCCGAAGCAGCTCATTCAAGGACCTCTGGCTTTCTTGAACTTCCAGCTTTGCTTTCTCACTCAGCATTGCCAGCTGCTGTTTCTGCAGGAGCTCACGGGCCTGTGTTGGGAATAACATGCCATAAACAGTGTTTTACCCAAACCACGCGATTCCTCTGAGCCAGGTGCCAAAGTRCAGCCAGCTCCAAGAGAAAGCAGCCAGCTGCTGTCACCCAGATGCCATCCCAGTGCTCCCCTTGGCTTTGGTGCAGCAGAGCAATGGGGTCTCACCCACCAGGGCTGGAACAGGATGTAGAAACTGGAAATTAAGGTTGGTATCTCTGCCCTGCAGCTACTTTGGGTGCAAAAACCTGATGCACAGTGAGCTGCTGCCCATTGATTACAGCCCAAATATATTTGGAGGTAGAAGCACCTCTTGATRCAGCAGAGAGGAACAGGGCCACTCGGCTCCCAGCCCTGCGTACCTGTGTCTGCTGGGCCAGCTGGAGGGAGATTTGCCTCCAATTGCCCACGTGGCTCCTGGGCTTCTCTTCCAGTTCTGGGCACCTAAAGTCTCCACCACCTAAAGAAAAAAAAAAGAGAGAGAGAGAGAGAGAATATAAATACTAATAGCCACTTTTTTTTTTAAATGTAAATGCTGCAAGAAATATCAGGCTTTATTAGAGGGAGCAAGAGCAGAACTAGCTGCAGACTCCAGCTGGATTCTGCTCTGAGATGTCTCTACATTGCCAAGCTGCACAGGGATTTTAAGCATTTGCTAAGAGTTTTGCCAGAAAGAGGTGGCTGCTGGATCACAGCCGAGGTCAGCTCACCTTGCAAATAATCTGGAGCGTTGTTTCACTTTCAAGAGGGTCCCAGGGCATTTGCCTGGCTCTGTGGCCTTCCAGCCCYGGTTGCACCATTAAAGACATGCCTGATTCATTCACATAGATTCAAACAAGGAATTGCAACAAGGAGAAAAGGGAATGGGTATGCTGGTCTTGRCTGCATTTTCCTTTCAAATCCTTCCTGGGCCTCTTTTGGGCAGCCTCCCACCTCTCATGGCTGACYATTTCTGGAACAGTGTCCATATGTGCCTACACCTCTTTCCCTATACGAGGAAGTAAAATGTCACTTCTTCCATCAAGCCCAGAAATCTGTCCGTATAACCCCCCGCAAGTCCTGGGGAAAAGAGAAGAGGAAGGACTTATGAGGACACGTGCTGGGAGCGAGAAGGACAAGGAACCAGCTCCCCTTCCCAAGCCACCCTCTCACCTGACATCTACAGGACGTGTTRTAATTGCTCTGGTCCCCGCTGTTCCTTGGCTGCCCCAACAGGATCAGACCCACAAATTAAAGAACAAAACTTCCCAACCTGATCACCTCCTGCAGCACCACGTGCCCCTCCATCCCGCTCTTCCGCCTGTCCCGGGTGCAGGTTTGGCTTCCTCCTTTTGTCTCATGGAAAAGAACCCATCGARAAAAAGCTTTTGCTTCCAGGTGGGGAAAACAAGCCTTGCTCCAGGTGCACCTCCCTCCCTGCTACTTCCTTATTAGAGCTCTCCTGACAGCCTCTTGCACTCCAGGTGATGTAATGTTTACCAGGGATATGTGCCTGGCTCTTTGGAGCCGCTCAGATAAATTGCTGAGCTTATTCAAACAGGTTGTGTGTGTACTCTGAGTTGTGCGACTGTCACAGCAACCGGGGCCATAAATGAATTTAAATGTGGGTCATAAATAGAAATGGGCTTGACTTGGAAACTTCTGATAAAATCTGTATCYCTCCCCAGCTTGTCTGAATTCAAATTGCCTGCTATCACAGAGTGAGCCCACAACATGCAGGGTTTGTTTATGCTTGAAATACTAAAAAATCCTGAACACAGGAAACGTGTCAGAGACTTGGGCTTCTGTGCCTGCCAGGATGCTTTTATGGTTTATAAGRATGGGAGGAAAATAAAATGTTAATGCTTCAGGTCTGATACAGACAATTTTTTTTGAACATTGCTGATTTTTTGGAAAGTTTGACTTGCAAATCTCGCTTACCTTAGAGTATTCCCAGTTACTTTTTTAAAATATAGGAGACTCCTCTTACCCCATTGCTTTCCAGAATCATGAGACTAGACAAAAATCTCCAAAAATCTCATCTCTCATTCAAGAAATGCTTATTTCCAACCTTCCTGGATAAAAAAAAATCATACTGGATGACTTAGAAATCACATGGCTGATAAATATTTTCAACTTATTCCTCAAGTTGAATGATACTGTTGTTGTTCGCCTTAGAGACTTCTGATAGTATTGATCTCAAGGTGAATAAAAAGTTTGTTCTCACTCCACTTGAATAKAGTTTTGTTAATTGTGGCTCTTGCCAGAAGTATTTGTTGTGCTGCAACATCCCACGTTAAAAAAACACCCTCTGGCTAAACTATGTGTCCTCTTACATTATGATGAATGGCATTTTACTGCATACCCAGATAGTGTCAGCGTTCATACACTCAGCCGCTTTAAAAAAAGGCTATTTATTAAATCACTTTCCACTGCACCTGCAGATTCTCAGTAAAGTCCTATAGAATCTGTGACATATAATTAAGAAAGCTGGGCTAAAAGTCTCATTTTTCTCATCACTTGAGGTTAGACAGAAGCACTTACTGCTGCTTTATTCAAGGACAGCTCTTCCTTTTTGCCCATGTCAGCAATCAGTCTAAACCAGTTATGACAAAAATACATGCTTTAATAAAAGCACGACTTGGACTGTGTTATTGGCAGATGGAGTGAAAAAGATCCCGAAAGGCTGATGTGACACAGAGCAATGGATCCAGAAGGGCCTGAGCAGCTGGCACCTGGATCAAGGCAAACCCTCCCCAACCTAGCACTGCTGAGCTGGCTCTATTGCTTTATTATTTTATGATACTCATCACATAAGGGAAGGAATAGGCAAAATGCCACCCAGGCAATTCAGTACTGTGTTAGCATGTGAGCACTGAGCTGCTGTGATGAGTTAATGGGGATAGTAAAAGAGGCTGCCTAAGCCCTGGTAGCAGCTGAGATGTGCAGCACAAGTGAAGAGCAGGGCTGCAGTTCCCATCTTTGGTCCTTCTTTAGCAAGACCCATAAACCAAAGGCTTAGGGCTAAGGAAGAGATGAAGCCCCAAAGGCTCTGCCTGTGAACCCGACCTGAAGCCTCACCACAACACTAAATTTTCATGACGCGTTATTTCTATTTCTCAATTACATATAATTCTCTCCACCCTAAGATGGTCTGATGTTTTGAAGCAAAACACCACAAATTCTCTTATCTCAAGCTATCAGTGAGGAGACACTTAGCTGAGAGTGTGACTGCACCGCTCTGCTCTCCTCTGAATCTACTAATTTCATCATTTCTACCTCTCTCATAAGCAAGAAGGTAGCTCCCTCTAGTGATACAAGAAAAAGTGAAAGCAACAGTTAAGGGGAAAGGTAATTTTACAT